TGAATAATCTATATTCATTTCATTTCGACTTTTCAAGTCTTCGATTCGACGCTCTGGTCTCAGCTTTTAGCTTTCGCAATTCGCAGTCTTGTCTCGGTCTCTCTGGGTTCCGTCTTGTTGGTTGTTGCCTTCCTCTCCTTCTTCGATTCTTCTTGTCGAATCCTCATCCTCTATCTTAATCTCGTACCTGTAGTTTGTTATGTGCACTCTGTCCCCCTGTGGTATAATCACTTATATTATTATGACTTTTAGAATTTAGATATTAGGTTTATTCACTGTTTTGGTTTTGAAATTTCTCGTCGAATCCTCTATCTTAAGGTTTTGGCTTTTCATTTTGAGGCTTTTTGCATTAAGAATTAAGGGCTTTGGGCCATTGCTATGCTAAATAGCGCATCAATTTTTTCCATTTTTTCTATTTTGATTTTTAGGGCTTCGTATATTTTATGGTTTCTCAATTTACATTTAACAATTATGTTGCTAAAGGGTTATACAAATTTGAGGGTTTTACCGCTTTAGGTTTAGAACCGTAGCACCATTCATGCATCATGGATTTTTTTGGGTTTCGCATAACAAAACTTTTACAGTGTAAAATGGCATTTGTGAACGTGTTTGTCATTTATTTTGAAAAAAAAAAATAAACTCTATTGTTATGGTCAGTGGTGCCCGGTGGGGATTGGGGATAATTGCTGATTGTTGAACATGAAATAGTTGTTCTTTATTTTCCATGCATTTCAATGGCCTATGCAGCAATGAAACATAAGTTGTCTGACGGCCCTGACTATTTAAGAAGAATGGTTTTAGGGATGATAACAAAATTTGAAAAGTACTGGTCGGATTTTAGTGTGATTTTAGCAATAGCAAACATTCTTTATTCATGATACAAGTTTGCATTCATTGAATGGTGCTACATAAGATTGTATGAGGGTGATTGTGTATGAACTTAAAAAGGTAAAAGAAAAATTGTTCGGATTATTTGCAAACAACTCAAAAAGTAGTGGGAATCTTTCATCCAGGGTTGGATCAAGTGCAACTACGAGACATTCTAATGTATCAAGTCACTCTTATCTATTATAATAGTCACAGTTTCTTCAGGTGTTTGTGCTTTTACAATTTTTTTTTCATATATTATATATAGTTACTCTATCTTTCAACCATAACTTTCACAAACAGGACTTTGATTCATTTAACGAAGTCATTATGCCTAAAAAATCATAATTAGAAATATATCTCGATGAACCCAAACTTGATAGGAGAATAGAGCTAGATATATTACAATTTTGGAAAGGCAATCAATATAAGTAGGCTTCTGCAATGACTGGTGACATGTTATGTATTCCCATAACAACAGTGGCCTCCAAAAGTGCCTTCAACAACAGTGGTAGAATTCTAGATCAGTATCGATGTGTACTAAAACATGACATTGTTGATACTTTGGTTTGTACAAAAGATTTGTTGTATGATGATCAAGGTGCAATATTATTCAACCCTTAAATTAATTTATACTACAAGAAAAGTATTTAATCAATGTTTATATTTCTATTTGTTGCAGCTTTACATGACCCTGAACTTTAAGCTATGACGAGGATATTCTAAATTTAATGGTTGAGCAAGTTCAAGAAGAAGTAAGGGAAAGTTCTGTTATTAGATGATAGAAAATTAATGGATTTCGTAAAGACAATTAAGTGAACTATTATTAGAATATCTATTGTTGGCTATCAGCTGCTTGCTAGTTGGTTGTTGTAGTTCCCACTACTTCTGACTTTCTGTTATTTTCTTGTGGCTTATATTGTTATACACTTATGCACAAGTAGCAAAACTGCAGCACCTAAGTAGCAGTTGCAGCATTCCATTTAAATTTATATCCATGGTCTACTTAAATGCTTTTATAAGTTATCGCTCATTTTGATGTATGTTATTTGTGTATGTTCTAGTATATTTGCTATTTGTTTGTAGTGTCTATTTTAGTATTTTAGTGTTATTTGTTGTTGTTGGTTTGTTGGGAACATGAGTCACATTTTTGGATTTTTGGGCCTTTCACAAAACTATTGTTATTTGCGCCTTTGAGGTTTTCCTGAACTCTGTTATGGCTGTTGACCTATTCTAACTGTAATGATGTTGGCCAGTTGGCCTGTCTCTATGGGTTGTGAGCGGTTGATTGTTACTAAAGCTTAAGCAATAATAACAAACCCTCTAAATTGAAAGTGAGAGCCGTTGGGGGTAAATCTAATATACTATTCCATATGGCTTTCATGAAGAACAGATACTCTATTAAGCTTAATGCAAAGTGCAAATTGTTGGATGCCGCCTTGGATGGTAATAGTCTAATAGATAATTAGAATTTAGAAATATCAAATATTCAATATTTGCTCACTTTATATTAATTGTTGAATGAGTTGGAGGGTTTACCTGAGCTATTCATTGAAGCTTTTTAATTGTACTGTCTCATGAATCATAATTTAGAATTATGTATGGTTAAGATTTTTTAAGCTTGTAAGACAATGTCTTTTGCAGTGAATTCAACTTGAAGAGTATGAGTTTGATCTCGTAACTTGATATTTGAGCTTGTAATTTTAGATTATAGAGTTTATAATTTAAGCTTGTAAGTTGTAATTTATGTTATGTAATTGTAATGTACTGTGTTAGGTATTATGTAAAAAAAATTGTAAATTTTTTAATAAAATTTAACTTTTTGCCACTTATCAATTATTAAGAGTATATAGAAGAGTTTTGTAATGCAAATCTGCCATCAAGATGCAAAAAAAAACTGAAGCTATTATATTGCATTTTGGGTCGGGTCCGGATAACCCAAACCCAAACTAGGTCGGGTTCAGGTTCATAAAAGTGACCCGAACCCAGAATCAAGTCGGGTTCAGGTCTGGTAAAAAATTTGGTGGGTCGAAGTCAGGTTGGACCCGAACCCGACCATGAACTAAATTTGATAGCCCAAATTATTGTTGGTGTAATCCACTATCATATATGTTATATATATATATATATATATATATATATATATATCTGTATGTGTGTGTGTGTGTAAATAATAACAAACCTATTAGTCAAAAGCTTTATAATAATTTCATTCAACAAACTGCATAAACTACAATATTTAGAAATATGAATAATATTTGGACAGTCAAATACAAAATTAACTCCATCATGCATTAGTATGTGTGGTTATGTGCATTTGTATACTTTGCTTGTAATTCATACAATCAAATCAGCACATACAATTTACACACAAGCTCGCATATGCAGTCATTAAAAATAGAGTTAATTTTATATTTCACTCTTCAATTGTTATTTTGAACCTATACAGTGCATTAAAAGAAATGTGTCAAGCCTATACATGATTTAGGTATCTTTAATTAAAAGAAATAAGGTCTACAAAATATTGATGGAACTAAATTTGATTTAGGTATTTATTAAATTTATATAATTTCAAAATGATTTTCTTAGACATGAAGCATTACAAATTTTGATTGACATGTATTAGTGAAGCTAAAAAAATAAGTCAAGTAATCTTTTAAGGTATCTTTAATTGATAGTTATTCATGTAGATGAAAAATTATATTGTGTAATTTACATACTAAAAAACACGTATAACTCACACACACACACATGCAAACATATGCAAACAAGCAAACACATTCAAGCAAGATGGAGTAGATTTTTCTATTTTACTCTCCTAATAGTTTTTTTATTCCTAAATGTGTTGAATAAGCAATGTGTTGAATAGAATTATTACAAAGATTTCGATCTTTCATCAGCTATTTTTTACTCTAAAGATATTACACTATTATTTTAATTGTTTCATTTGTGGTTTCATTAAATATTATAAGTATAAATATTTAGTTGATTCGCTAACTAGGGGTGTCAATTAATCACACCACCCAATACCCCGACCCAAAATAATTGGGCTTCGGGTCAACCTGTTTAACAAAATGGTCGGATTTAGTTCCAATTTTTGACCCAATTAAAAAATCAGGTCAACCCACTAACCTGAATTTGACCCAATTTGACCCAAGTCCCCCGCCTAGACACAGTCGGGTTTAATTCCAACATTCGGGTTCGGGTCAACCCGCTAACTCAAATATGACCCAATTTGACCCGAGTCCCCCGCCTAGGCATAATCCCGCACAGCACACAGTCACCAATTGCGCGCAGCTGAGAGCTGGAGATATGAGCGTAGCAATCTTGTGCTTGTCATCACCCGCATTCACACACACATGCACAAAGCCCTAGCAGTCAAGCTAGAATGGCCGAACCCGAAGTCATGCATTCGCACCGCGTGCTCCAACGCCTGCACTAGTGAAAACTGTAGTCCTGCACCCGGCCCTCGCACATTCACACACTCTTGCATCTAAAGTCCTGCTCCCGTGTTGCGTCATACTCTCTCACGCACACGCGATTTTTGTGTCGGGTTGGGTCAATACGGTAACCCGACAAGTCGGGTTCATGTGTTAGTTTTTTACCCGTTTACAAAACTGGGTTAGGTTCGGGTCAACTGAATTGGACCCGGGTGAATTCCGGGTTAAACCTGAACCCGGCCCGAATACCCATTTACCCATGCTGCAAATAAATTAAGATTACATGTTAAAGTGTAAGGGAATTTTATATTGAAAGAAAATTAGTGATAGCTAATTAGCACTCTGAGATTAAAAAAGTGAGATATCAATACTTGATGCTCTATTTTCAAAAGATGTGCTGATGAGAATGTTTTAATATTTATTTTCATTGGATTTGTTGATTTTATATGTTAAAACAGACTTATTTATCATCATGCTTAAGATTATTTACATCAAACTAATTGGATCAAACAAACTAATTAAATTTATCATTCGATCCAATTGAATTAATTCATTAATCAAATTAAACTAATAAATATTTTAAGATGTGGTTCAACAAAAAAACATGCGTTGGCGTGATCAAATGAATAAATATAAATCAAGTGAAAAGAAAATTATAAAGCCAAAAAAAATTAAAAACCGCATCATGCATACCTTTTAAATACCATCACTGCCATATGTAATATCAAAATACCTAGCTCAAGTTACTAGTCAATGCTACAAAATTGTAGTATCTATCTCATCAGCCTTCATCATCACTATTTGTTGCTTGATCTTGTCTTGAAGTTTGACACCTTTTAAAATTTATCAAAAAAGAAAGAGATAAGAAGTGTCCATAAGATTATTTGCAATAAGAAACTTACTAGCTTCCAAGCATATGATATAAATACGACTTCATTGCAAGGAAAATTTAAGCATGGTAATAATTGATAAAATAAAATTGTAAGATAGAATCGATTAATCTTCTAAACAAAATATAAAAAAAGCTAGGAAACATGTTAGAGCTACATTTCACTTAAGAAAAGTAAGCAAAAAAAGGGCTAAATCTATTACAAAATTAAACTACCAGGGCTTGTAATTCATTAGAAAGCATCAACATGATATCATATTACTAAAAACGTGCTTTTACTATGCCAATAAAAGATAAGAAATTCAAGGCATATTTTACGCATATATAAACCATGTTAAAAAGGTCATCAGTAACAAAATTTTGGTCCACTTTGTAAACAATATCAAGTAAGGAATTACATATGATGAGGATATTCATGCTTGTTAGTTGGCATTATGATATTTGATAAGTGCTACATGAAAACTTTTAGTTTTTTTCTCCAATAAATTCATTAATGGGTGTTGTTTTGATGTTGATTTCCTTA